CGTCCCCCCTGCGTCAAATATTTATTTCATAAGTTTAAATTAATTCCAAGGAATATAAATACAAAGTCAAATATAAATATGTTCAAATACAATAATTAATTTTTTTCTTTTAATTAGTTTTTCTCTTTTATTTGATAATAAGAATTTGATTAGCAATTTCAAATAATTATGATACACAGTGTAAATCTAATATTATTCTCCTAGTCAATTTGACTATTTTTTCCTGATTATATCGACTAATTTTCCTGGTCACTTTAACTATGCTTGAATCTTATTACTTTGACCAGGATTCTATAGTTGGCTCCTCTCGTAACTAGGAAACCTAGTCAATTCCTGGTATACGGGTCCTAGGCATTTTTTTCGGTGTACTTTTTTTACGCCGACGAAGCAGTAGTACAAAACTTTAAGGAATTTTAAAATACTGTAAATATTTTTTTATTAAATATAAAATAATTTACGATCATAAAGTAAAAAAACTTATATAAGTTTTCATATTAAAAATATTAATTTCTCACCAAATCATGTCCACGTGGACAGTTATGGAAGGGGGGGGGGTCAAAAAGTGATAAAAATTTACCCACGTGGTATAACGACCCTTTGGCATTGTTCGGTAGTAGGACACACCTGAGTACATATAGTATTTTGACCGCTCTTCAACTCTATCGCTATAGCCCTGTGTTTTCTCACTATTTCGAGTTTCTCGCGCAACTGGTCATGCACTTTCAAAAGTTTGTATCCTATGATTGTTATTTATGAAACGATTATGAATGGGAGTTTCCGAAAAACTTTTGCTTACGTACAGTTTCACACAATGAAGGTCTCAATGTGTATTCATAGATTCACGCATGTAAAACGATCGTGGCAACGTCGCAAGTTTTGATATATGGCGTCCTCTTTCTTTATTTAAAATTTCGCGCCAAAATTAATAGACGCGAACTGTAGTTTTTAACAAACACTGTTGCCACGTTTACGAATTCGCCTCTCGCTTACAGCAAATATTTCAATAATTTTTTAAGTTTCCCATCAAATATCTTTTAAATAGTATGGTAAAAAATTTTCATTTTTTTCATAAAAGTTAATTTTAGTTTAATAAATAAAACTTTACTTTTCTTTCAAAATCTGACGATTAGTACAGGTGCAAAAATTAAAAATCTGTAATCAATACGCATGGTATTCCTATTCCGTACTATGTAAAATATAGAAAGATTTAAATTTTTGGGACTTAGAGATGGTAGAGTTTATTTAAATATACCTTATTTTGAAGATAAATATCTAAGGAATAATCAAGTGAAGTTTGAAAAAAATCTGACAAAAACAAATCGACGCGAAAAATATACTTTAAACCGCTTTAATAATACTATTTAATTTTTGTCTTGTCATTAGTATCATTTTGATGACTTTTTGATCCAAAAAAGTTTATAAAATCATAAGTTTTATACTCTTTTTCTTCTTCTTGTGAATTAAAAAATCATTTATAACTTAAAAAGTCAAATTTTCTAAGTTTTATTTGTTACACTTGGTATTTTTTAACTTTTAATGTGTAAAATGTTTTCATGTTACAAAATCGACCAAACTCGTAATAAATTCTTCTAATAGTGAAGAATGCATTACATGCAGAATTAATATGTTCTCCTTAATTAAAACTAAATAGTTACAGTTCAAAAAGAGTTTTACATCAATTTATCAGTAACAGAAAGTTTTGATGATTTTTTCATTTAGTGATTTTTAGCAGTTATGCAATTCTAGTTTTTTAGAATGAGCATTTTGTTTATGAGAAAAAGAACAATTTACAACCTTATTAAATTATGTGCTTCTAAAAATAAATATAATATAAGAATATTGACCTCTTTATGTATATGTATATAGAAACGCGAACGACTTTAAATTTTTAGTGTTTTTAATGACTCACTTACAGATTGAAGAATAATAGGTTAAATGTTTATGTGAACGATAGGTATTATTATTAATAATATTTTTTCTAAATCTCTCCTCTGACGAGGAGTTCACCACTGATTTATCATTAGTGGAAATAAAATTATTCAAATTAAAAGAGTTGGGTGATATTATAGCTCGTATTATAGGATAACATCTTTTCAAAATTATTAATATTTTCGAGTGTCTATTCGATTTTTTTAACACTTGTACTCTTTATTTTTAACATATATGTGACAAACAGATAGTTGCAATCAATACTCAGTTGATCAGAATAAAAATATTAAAGGTCTGCATTTGGGCATCTATCCAACCGGAGGGGATTAAAATGCTCCAAGGCATTATTCAATAAAAATATTTGTAATTGTTTTGGAAGAAAGTATAATATTTTTCAACCTTGTAAAACCTTTTTTTACCTTGTAAAACCAATATAAACAGTTTATTTACTTTTTACAGTTAAAAATTTATAAAATTATTAAAACAGTAATTTACTTGAACTTTATTGTTCGTATAAACGTATCTTTGAATCCTGATTGAGAGACAATTATATATCAAAAATTTAAAATTTGTCCCATGTATAGTTAAGTTTAAGTCCGCAGGTCGTAAGTATAGAAGAGGCTCAAATTTAATTAATTTTTCAAAATTTAAATAAAAATGTATTTTTTATCATGATTATAATTGTTTTTTTATTGGTTTGTTGAGCTACAAGTATATTGATTTTTGAACTCTGTTTCAATAATACTGTTACGAAAAATAAAAAGTCAAAAAATCTTATTTTTTATATAAATTTTTAATCTTTATAATCTATATATTATAATTAGAAAAGGTATAAATATATCACAATATCAGTGTCAAAATAAGGAAAATAAATATACACAAAAAAATAAGAGGTTTAAATTTTGACTGGAGAAAATTCAGCATAATTTGAATTTTTTATTATACAAATTTTTAAATTAATTTTATTAAAAACAGAATACTCTACATAAAAAAGCATCATTTATGAGGAATTATTGGATATTTAATGTAAAAGTACAATTGTTATTGTATAGAACAAAAATGGGGTCATTTATATGTGGACCGAGTCTATGACCTTTCTTTGCAAGCATATATATGATCTCATATCGTAATTATTCATAACGTTATGAACATGAACCCTTTGTAAAAAAAATTGTTAATTCTCTAGAGAATTTTAATTTAGAAACAGGTATGGTAAATACAAACAGTAATTATCTCAGCTTTACTTTAAATTTAAAAAATAAGTACAGCATGAAAATTTTAGTTTTATAGGATAAAAGGTTCTAAGTATTAAATATAAAATTAAATATAGAATAATTTTTAAGTATTTTATTTTATATAACCTATTTTAATGCTTTTAATTATCGTTCTAATGTTTTTTTGAAAAAAGTAATTTTTTGTCATTAAATCTTCATTTAAGTTTTAATACTTTGTGTCTATTCAATAGACGCTTCAATAATAACTAATCGATCGACCTGTTTTTGAACTCTGCGTTTTAAAATTAAAATGTTTTTGACAATTTAAAAATTAGAAATTTTGAAAAATTACGTTTCATGGTATCTTGTTATACAATTGTAATAATGCACAGCAATAATTTCTTAGAGATTTTTTACATTTTTCAATGTAATTAATTTTTGAATACATATATTTTTTTTTTATTAATTTCTTATTTGGAGCAGACTTTAAATTTTGCAGAGTTTTTTCAGGCGCATCCTTTGAGCCCTCATTGAACATTTTTCGTCCATATTATAGCCGGAGATACTAAAATTATAAAAATCTAAAATTTTGAAAAATAAGACTTTTTTGAAAATTTTGTTAAAAAAATGTATCCTAAGTAATTTTAAAAGTCTCACAACCAACTTGTAGAGCATTAAAAAACGCTTTGATTGACCTATTTTTGAACCTGATCGAATCGATCAGCGGAAATTACGAAATTAATTGGTATTTTAAAATAATCAAAAATTGTCGAAAACATAATTTTCTAAATTTTTTTAATTACAAACTTTTACTTAATTATTTGTAACTATTATAATCATCTTATAGAATAATTAAAAATATATTGATTGGACCAAGATTTAATCATTTTTTAATATATTTATGAAATATTATTCTTAGATCAAGATTTAATCATTTTTTAATACATTTATGAAAATAAGTTAATCTTTTAAAAAAAATCAGTGTAATTAATATCAAAATACAATGTCATTGAAAAATTGTTTGTTTTTAATCAGTATTATTTAACAAAAATATATACAATTATAAAATAAAAAAATATTATAATAATACTCAACTTTTAATGAAATATTGCCTGAATACCAATCAACCGTTTTAAATATACTATTTAAATATTTGATTGAAGAAATACGTCCACTTGAGTTAAATAATTTTTTATTAACAATTAATTATATTATAATATATTTTATTAATTATAATATAATAATAATATACCTAATAATAATAGTAATAATAATAATAATAATTATTATTATTATTATTATTATTATTATTATTATTATTATTATTATTATTATTATATAATTATTAATAATATTTTATTAATTTAATAATTCATGTTAAATACGAATGCTCAAATACATGGTTTAAAAAAAGTTTTTCAATTTAAAAAAAATACTTTTTTCATGCTAACAAGTGTTTATTTAAAATAAATATACATTATTAAATTATTATTTTTCATTCTAATTATAAAATTTTTTATTTTAAATAATTTGAATTTGACGCAAATCACTATTTATTTGATACGATAAAATAAAATATTTGGGTCAAGTAAATATTTTTTTCTTCAAATGTAGATTTAATGGATAATATACAACTAATTGTTTAATTGGATCAATTATACATTTTCTTTCATCTAAATAAATTTTTTGCAGTGTAAAATTGTTTTATTTTTATTAAGCTACAACACATTATTTTAATTAATATGACACATATACTGAATTATACAGTATAATTTTATAGATTTCTAGTAAATGATATTTTACTTATTGGAAAAAAATTTCAATTGATATTAATTTTTTTAAATTTCAAGTGGACGCACTCTATATTCCAGTAAAGATATGATCTTAAAAAATACGAGTATAAATATTTTTAGGTATACTTGTTATTAAAAGAATAAAATTACTAAACTTGTGTGAACATAAGCTTATGGGAGAAAAATCAATAAAATAAGTAGGTTTCTCTTTATAAATGTGCGAATGAATAAAATTTTGCCTGACCAACTCAGCGAAGAAGAAAAATATCATATACACAAACTTTATACTCTATTATAAATATTATGACTCTATTATTTGACTTATGTAAAGTACAATTAACAAAGAAGGAAAAGATATTAATATTATAAACAAAGTGTTTTATATCACGCGATCATTTTTAATTATATGTCAAGAGGAAAAATACTGTCAATTTTCTGAGTAAAGTACCTTACCAGATTTTAAAATAATCTTTTAAACAGAAGTAGGTGAAACTCATTTGAAAAAGGTTTTTAAAAATCAAATTGCTTGTTTTTTATTTGTTGCTTTGGTAAAAATAAATAGATATATTCAGAGTCAGAATGCAATAACTTTATTTGCGCGCTGACGCACGAACTAATATCAGTCAAGTTACAGCAGCGGCCTAGTGACTTTCACTGCTAAATGACTGGTATTTAAGCGTGCGATCATGAGCAAATCAAGTTAAAGAATTCGGGACTGAGAAGCTCGTATTAATTTATAATTACAAATCACTTTGTGAAAATATTTAATTTTAAATAATGCTAAATTGACATACTTTTTTTTATATACACAAACAATATAATTAATGAAATGAAACGAATACATTTCTATGAATACATTTCTATAAGAAGTTTAAAAAAATTCATTTCAAATAAAAATTATATTTAAAAATAATAAATAAATATAAAAATAATGTGTGAATGTGATGACGCCCCTCTTTATAAAAGAAGCCATAAATGTCCTTCGTTGTGAAAAAACCGACGCCTATTTGCTTTGATGCTTTATTACAAAACAACAGGTAAGAAATAAGTGGCGTAGGTTTAAAATAATGAAGAAGATAACTACTTACTGCAAAAATGAAGTTAAATACAAAAAGAAGATATTTTATACACTCCATTCCACAATTCATTGCCATTTTCACAATTTTTTTTTTATTATCAAGTCGCAAAAAAAATAAACACACTGCTCGCGAAAACAAGTTGATACTAGCACAAGGCAACAAGGCACACTGAATACGTTGAATACTCTGGTCGTCGCACTGGCTTATACTGACAGTCACTGGTTTCGTTATTCGTTGGTTGGTTCAAAACCCCAAGAGATTATTTAGAAGCCGGGAGTGGAAGAGCGTCATCATCACATATAGACGCTCAACAGGTTATGTTTAGATATATGTATTCATCTATATGTATAATATACATGTAAGACTTACGAATTTGTCCAAGTATACATATTCTTTGTCATGAAAATTCAATATTTTGTAATCGGCTGATAAATATTATCTCAAAAAAAATAGGTACAACAAATAATTTTATCAATATTTTATCTCGTTTTTTAAAACATTTATTAAAAGAATAATGAATCATCAAAATTATCGAAATTTTTATTATAATTAGCAAAAAAATAATTCACACAAACTTCATATTATAAAGTTTTTCTTTATAAATTCCAGTAAAAAGATAACTGGAATAGAATATATAATTAAAAAAGTTAATTCCACTTAATCTGGAGAATTCCCTCTTTTTTTATCTCATAGAAATATAATTTTTTTTCTGTTTCTTTTAGGGAAATCAGGGAATTTAGGAAAAAGTCAGGAAAATCGGCGCGACTTCTTATCCCATATAGATGATTTACTAGAATATTTGCGAGATATTATTTTATTTCTCAAAACATCACTTTAGTATAATTTTAGCTCTAAAAAATAATTGTAAGACAGAATGCTTATAGGTAAATAATGTCTTATTAAGTAATGAATCATTAATAAAATTTTAAGTAAAAATACTTTTTAAACAACATAAGTCTTAATTGAAAGAATTTTTTAGAATAAGAATAATAATTAAACAAAAATATCTTTAAAACTAAAATAGATTTGAACGATATTTTATAGAAAAAGATTACAATTTGTAAAAAAATTTGTTAAGCAAATATTTAAAGTCTCAAATTCTTTGTTTAATAGAATATTTATGTGCCAATCTTTCAATTTTCAAAAAATCTTATTTATTGGAATATATGTTTAAATAAACTATTATTAATACAATGTATTTAGAAAAAATGATATATGAAAAAATGTATAATTTAATTAACTCTTGTATGACAAAAATTTTTCTTAGGCAAATGGTAATTTTATAGAATGTTAATTAAAAAGAATATTAATTTACAAGAAATGAAAGTGAAACGAATTCTACTTTAATAGAATACTTAAATGTCTGAATTATAATTTGGCAGCATGTCAATTCGATCGATTTTATATTTGTAAGAAATTCAATTTGACATAACATCAATTTATAAGAAACACTTTTTCGTAGAATTTTAATTTATCAGAATTGTAATTTTGTAGAATATTAATATTGCCAAATCTAATTTTAGTAGAAATCTGCTTTATCAGAATGATCAAATGTTCGAATCCCCAAAATTTCTAATTTCATTTCTACCCAAAATCAATGTGACATAAATATTTGGCGCAAATTTTAAAAATTTAATTTCTGATTGGTCAATTTTTAAATTTGCGCCAAATATTTATGTCACATTGATTGTAGGTAAAAATGAAATTAGAAATTTTAAAGATTCGAACATTTGATCATTCTGATAAAGCAGATTTCTACTAAAATTAGATTTGGCAATATTAATATTCTACAAAATTACAATTCTGATAAATTAAAATTCTACGAAAAAGTGTTTCTTATAAATTGATATTATGTCAAATTGAATTTCTTACAAATATAAAATCGATCGAATTGACATGCTGCCAAATTATAATTCAGACATTTAAGTATTCTATTAAATTAGAATTCGTTTCACTTTCATTTCTTGTAAATTAATATTCTTTTTAATTAACATTCTATAAAATTACCATTTGCCTAAGAAAAATTTTTGTCATACAAGAGTTAATTAAATTATACATTTTTTCATATTCATTTTTTCTAAATAATACATTGTATTAATAAAAGTTTATTTAAACATATATTCCAATAAATAAGATTTTTTGAAAATTAAAAGATTGGCACATAAATATTCTATTAAACAAAGAATTTGAGACTTTAAATATTTGCTTAACAAATTTTTTTACAAATTGTAATCTTTTTCTATAAAATATCGTTCAAATCTATTTTAGTTTTAAAGATATTTTTGTTTAATTATTATTCTTATTCTAAAAAATTCTTTCAATTAAGACTTATGTTGTTTAAAAAGTATTTTTACTTAAAATTTTATTAATGATTCATTACTTAATAAGACATTATTTACCTATAAGCATTCTGTCTTACAATTATTTTTTAGAGCTAAAATTATACTAAAGTGATGTTTTGAGAAATAAAATAATATCTCGCAAATATTCTAGTAAATCATCTATATGGGATAAGAAGTCGCGCCGGAAAATCAGCTAAAAGTGACTGCTTTTTTGTGTCTTTTTTTCTTTTATGTTTACCTCATAAACTATAAAACTACAGGGCTCGGATTGTGCGACTTTTTCGACTTTTTTCGACTTTTCTAAGGAAATGTGACCATTTTTCGACTTTTTTGTGAAAAATGCGACTAATCGACTTTTTCAAGATTTTTTTAGTAAAATGCGAATGAAATTAAAAAAATTTTTTTAAATTTAAAGGAAAAAGTTTGAGTTAAAAAAATGTTCTGTTACATTTATTTACAAATTTCTTTGAAATCTTTCAAAAACATCTATAACTTCTTTTTTAAATAAATATTTAATTATTATTTTTCCATAGGAATTAAAATTCTTCAAAAGATTCAAATTCAAACCTTTTTTAAATTAAACAACAAATAAAAAATTGTTATAAAACATGAAGAAAACGATCACTCCGAGTCTTTGACTCGGAGCAATCGATGTCTTCATGTTATTCATATAGATAATTGAAATTTTGACATGAATTTTATTAAAATTCTTTGCAAATAATTGAAATTCAAGAAGAATTTAATTAAAATTCTTTGCAAATAATTGAATTTCAGAGCAGAATTTCATTATTTATAAAGCTAATTGAAATTAAGAACAGATTTTTTTTTAAATGTGTAAAAGTAATTGAATTTTGCAGAAGAAGTTTGATATTTATAAAGATAATAAAGATAATAATAAAGAATAAAGATAATAAAGAATAAAGATAATTGAAATTGTGAGGAGAATTTAAAAAAAATTTTGAAAATAATTGAATTTCTGCGAAGAATATTCTTACTTTTGAAGATAATTGAATTTTGCACGACTTTTATCCAAACTTTTGTAAATAATTAAATTTCCAGGATGAATTTTATTATTTGTGAAGGCAATTAAAATTTTGACGAGAAATTTAAAAAAAAATTGAAAATAATTGAATTTCTAGGATGAAATTTATTATTTATAAAGATAATTGAAATTTTGAACAGATTTTTTTAAAAATGTTTAAAAGTAATTGAATTTTGCAGAAGAATTTTGATATTTATAAAAATAATTGAAATTTTAAGGAGAATTAAAAAAAAATTTTTAATTAATTGAAATTCTACGAAGAATTTTCTTACTTTTGAAGATAATTGAATTTTGCAAAGAATTTTCTTAGAACTTTTGAAAATAATTAAATTTCCAGGATAAATTTTATTATTTATGAAAATAATAAAAATTTTAACGAGAAATTTAAAAAAAATTTTTTGAAAATAATTGAATTTCTGCGAAGAATTTAGTTTACTTTTGAAAATAATTGAATTTCTAGTATTAATTTTATTATTTATAAAGATAATTGAAATTTTGACAAGAATTTTATTAAAATTCTTTGCAAATAATTGAATTTCAGAAAAGAATTTTATTATTCACAAAGATAATTGAAATTTTGAACAGATTTTTTTTTAAAAATGTTTAAAAGTAATTGAATTTTGCAGAAGAATTTTAATATTTATAAACATAATTGAAATTTTGAGAAGAATTTAAAAAACATTTTTGAAAATAATTTAATTTCTGACAAGTATTTTCTTACTTTTGAAAATAATTGAATTTTGCAAAGAATTTTATTAGAACTTTTGAAAATAATTAAATTTTTATGATGAATTCTATTATTTATAAAATTTTGATTAAAAATTTTTAAAAAATTTTTGAATTTAATTGAATTTTTGCGAAGAACTTTTTTACTTTTGAAAATGATTGAATTTCAGAGAAGAATTTTATTACTTATAAAGATAATTGAAATTTTGACAAGAATTTTATTAAAATTTTTTTTTAAATAATTGAATTTCGGATAAGAATTTTATTATTTACAAAAATAATTGACATTTTAAAGAGAATTTAAAAAAAAATGTTAAAAATACGTAATTAAAATTTTGCTTTGAATTTTATTAAATTTTATTCCGGATTGTTTGATATTAAAGTATATTATGTTGTCGAGAAATGTAATTTTTTTACAATTTTGACAATTCGTGTTTCCTTTTTGTCGTTTTTTTTCTAAAATTTCATGCGACTTTTTTCCGACTTTTTCGGAAATTTTATGCGACTTTTCGTGACCTTCTGTTGTAAATTTATGCGACTAAAGCGACTTTTTTAAGTCTTAAAGACGATCCGAGCTCTGAAACTACCACGAATTCTAATATCAGGATGTCTAGTAACCGGGAATAAGCCAGGAATTTTATGCTAAATTAAGAATTTTTTTATTTTAATTTGTGTTTAAAAAATCGCTTTTTATTAAAATTTTTAGAAATAGATATTTATACTGTTCTCTTAATTTAAATTTGTTAAAAATAATTAATTTGATAGTAAAAAATCAGTTACTGATTCAAAATTGTAAATAAATTTAAAAAAAATTATCGAATTAGTAGAAATTTTGTGAAATTCAACTGAAAATAATTAAATTTGTTAAAGAATTTCATTAAAAACTTTTTAACAAATCGAATTTTCAAAGTATTTTAATTTAATAATAATTAATAAATAATTGAATTTTATAAAGAGTCACATTCTAATGTATTCATGTTTCTTAGTGCAAAGATTAATAATTAAAATATTTACACTGCAAAAAGAGGTGTCTTGGGTGGAGACGTTTTTGGTGTCTTAGACACCAAAAATGTCTTAAACCAAGACGCTTTTGGTGTCTAAGACACCAAAAATGTCTCCAATA